ATTTCCCTGAGCAGAAGGAGCAGCATTCGGCCCAAGAGGAGAGCAAGCAGCCGCACTTGCAACTCCAAAAGCACGGGGAGCAAGTCAAACAACAAGAGAGGCAGGTGACAGCGACGGAGCAAGTTGGACAGGAACAGGAGCAAATAAGACAGAGGCAGGGACACCAAGGGAAGCCCAAACTACAGGAGGAGGGCGAGACCCATCAGTTGCAACCTGCTGATGAGGTCCCGGTGCAATTGGAGGAGGATGAGTGGATTTTCCAGGTCTCTCCAATAGCGGGAGAGGCTGAGCCCAGCGGTTCTCAAGAGGCGTTGCAGCCGTATGCTCGTGAAACAGCTGCAGGTCCCTCGACGTCCGACGGCCTCAGCGGACCGGTTGTGGCGGGATTTACACGAAATGCTGATACATATTCTGGTAGTGCTTCAGGGGTTCCACGGGGTGAAGTTGCTGCTGTTCTCGGTATGGAGGGAGCAAGGGCTGCAGCAGCAGTCATGCCAGATGGCCAGCCTAGTGCGGACCCGTTCTCTGCTGCACCAGCAACTGCCGGAGGGGGCATGAGATTGAGCGCGCCGTTGCTGGCTAGTCTCCTGACGTCAAGAATAGGTGCGGGTGAAGCACTAGCAGCAGCAGCACCAGCGGCAGGTTCTCCCCTAATGGCACCTGTAGCGACTCCGTCACTGCAGGGCCTGCGAGGACCTCGCACATCAATTTCTGCTGCTATTAGAGAACATCCATTTGTGCGTCTGCCGAGACGAGCAGAGGACACTTTTTGGGGACCGATTTGTGTTGATTTTGAGCAAGCCCTGTCCAGCACATCTGGCTTGAGGAACCCCATACCATTGCTGCATAAGGCCCGCGCGTTGCTGTTGAAAGGAGTTTTGTCTCGTCAGGAGATGAGGGAATTGCGGCAGATAACACAAAATTTGATGGAACACGCTGTGCATTATCAGAATCAAAACGTGGAAGGTTTCAGGGGCAGCTACGCAGTAGAACGGTTGGGAGTACGTTTCATGGTGCTGGATGTTGTAGTTTCCACCTTGATAGTTCTCGATCAGACACCAAAACCCGAAGATTGGCAAGCCTTTGTCAGTACCATTAGCCACGACGTGGCCCCGTTGGCGGACAGACGAAGCAGAGCAGGGCGACCCAACTTGTCAGCAACGCGAGCTCTGGAGCTCAGCAGGGCAATACAAACACTCAAGAGGGGAGTGAGGCCAGAACCCAGAGACCTCTTGCGGATCAAGCGGATGCTCTTGTGCTTGCCGACCTCTCCCAGGAATTTTCAAACGGCGGAGTTCGACCCCTGGAGGGAGCAAGACTGCAATTTCACCGAAGTCAGCTTTCTTCTCTAGCGTGGGCGCGGGTGGAAGTGCCCATTATTGCGAAGGGGAATGAAGCATAAATGCATAACTAGCAATACAAACAATTTGCGCCCGATCTGTTCTTCTTCAATAACCGTAGGCTTCTTCTAGGGAGACGGCTTCTGACCTCTTCGATAAGCTTAACGGGTACGGTGCTGGACAATTTCGGCCAACCGGTGCTAGAGCAGACGCTGAATTCAGGGGTCGGCCAGCTCAGTTTGACTGCTTCCACTCGAATATGAGGAATATGGAAATGGTGCACCAAACTAAAGTGTGAACAATAGGGGAAGTAGTGGTTTCATTACCTCTGTCTCATAGCACCTAAATGCATGGGTGCATAACTATCTCGCAGGCGTTTCCGTTCGCTTTTCCGAATTTGAACGAAAAGAGTGGACGGCTTAACGCACGCACAACAGAGCCACTTCCAGGTTGTTATTGTTTGTGACTATACCGCAGCGTTTCCGCGCCTTTATGTGCGCAGGGGCGTTGAGGCCTCCGCTTCATTGCAGTTGTGTGTCAATGATGTGGCCTGCCTGAAATGAGGTTGGCCAGACTGAATTTGTACTTGCCTGAAGTATGGCCATTGTAGGTCTTTGGCTTAATTATGGTTTGACATTGCTAGCCTTGCATCATTAGCTGCAGAAAGGCTCTTTGCAACTCATGGCAGCCCGTCCCCTTCAGCAACAATCCCAGGCGCCTTTTTGCCGGTGTTGCCGAGGATCGTGCAGACAGGAGGGGAAGAAAGCTAAGCTTTTGGGGACTCCTTTATTTTGAATCCACTGCAGCTCACAACGATCCACGGATATGGCCGACCACCATTTTTTGCTTCAATGCTGCATGCCTAAACGGGGAAGGACCGAGGCGCGAATCTTGCCCCTGGGTTTGCGCTTATGAGTGGACAGTACGCGACCAGATTGGCCAGAGGAGCAACTCTACGGAATACATCTGGTCAAGATGTTTGAGAGTTTATGCATCAAGGAGGGTGAAAATGACACTTGCACAGATCTAGATGGGGAGAGAGAAACACCGCAGGACATTGAAATAGTGTAATGTCGAATTCCGGGGAGGCGAGCGCATGGAATGAGAGTGCAATCTTGAAAACAGACGGAATACCCATTGTACCCAACAGCATCTGGCATATATAACACTTAGAAAACAGGGACGAACTATTAACAGACACTTTTCGCTTTCTGTCAACAAAGTCGCATTGAATATTGCATGAGAATGAGCAGGGCTACGCAACTGGACAGACCAGAATTCAAACGGCACAGTCATGGCAGCAAAAAGAACGAATACGGCAATGCCGCAAAATTAACGTAAACTCTCACCCAAGGGGAGGGGCATAAAGAGCTGGCAGCGGCATTTGCAGGTACTCGTTAATGCAATTATCTGCTGAGCCAAACCGGCTACAGGAGAAGCGGGCATAGTGATTCGAAAATTACAGCCCTCAGGAATGCCCATACATGGCTCTTCCGTATTTTCTACTTTCCCTTTTTTAACTTTTCGTTGTGCGTAACTTTGCTTCCGTACCTTCTTGGCTTTCTGCAAGGCTCAATATTGTTAAGCGCAACCAATTCAAATGGAGAAAAGCCGCCCTCCCTTCGACCCAGCAGCCTTTTGCATAACCAAGCAGACACACATTGTGTAGTAGTTGGGGTAGAAAATTTTGATAGATGTTGAACGGTGCGGTGAAAGCAGGCACGTGCACTGCTATATGAGTAGAGGCGGCCTGGAGCAAAACACGTGCTCAGTGGTTCGCTACGATGTTAGTGATGTAGCAGACGGAGATTTGCTTATGCTTGCATGTGGTTGCTTTGCAGAACTACTTGTAGCGAGTTACTCTGCAATTCATCTTAGACTGCCTACTAGGGGCGGAGCTACAGGTCCTTGGGCCACCTTGCACAGGTAGTCGAGCCCACGAGCATGGGATTGTGTGGGGAGGCCAATTGCTTTCTTGGAGAGCTTAAGATGACCCTTTGTAAACATTGATGACTCTATTTGCTGTTATATGGTGATCATCGTTGGTTTACTGTCTGAATGGCCTAGCTCCGATGCAGTGGCACAGATTGCCGTCCCCAGTGGGGCGGCTTTATGCACTACAACAAGTTTGATAGCTTCACTTTTATAGCAAAAATTTTGCTTGATATGCCGTCAATTGACCCTGAGTTTCAGGCATTAAAACTTATCGCTACGACTATAGCGTGGGTTTCATGGCCTCTTGGCATGCAAGGGTCGGCAATGGGAGACCTGATATGCCCCACGTACGTTGAAAGGATGTTTTGGTAAGCTTCTGAATTGAAGCTATCTTACTACCATCTTTATTTATTGGTTTTGCGGACGTTGTCATTCTGCTAGGCCCGTTTTTGTTTTTTCGTGACCCTCTGCTGATTCCCCGAATTACGTCCTCTGGCACTGGTGGATATAGTTCCTACATTGCTTTTCTCATGCGTAGATTTATTTTCATTCGCACCTCCCTTTTAAAGAGCACTGAAACAAGGTTACAGCAGCAAGCCTCCATAATTCGGAGATACTGTCACCCAGTCGGCGGGCCAGGTGGAAATCTGTGGTTTGCTCGAGCCACATTGGAGGCACCCTGTTGTTACAGGTCTTGTGGGTCATGACATCGACTTTAATACTTTGAATTTGGGGCCAAATGCCGGAGTTGCATAATATTCTTCAGGAAAATGCAACTCCAAGCGCTGATTCAGCCTTTACCTCTCCATCGCTGCCCACAGTGGGATCGACGTTTGCTCGACCAGGCAGCTTGAGAGCCAAAACCTGTCGCTCCCTTACTTGTATGCGTCTTGTTGTGGCAACCTTAGCCTCTGTTGCAGCAGTTGCAGTGCTCATTTCTTTCTGTTCGCGCTTTTTCGAGAGGCGTGCAGTGCAGGGCATCCCAAGCCGCACGCTGGCCAGCCCAAAAGACACTGATGGATCGACTGGTATATGTGGTGAAAGTGGTGAAGGTGAAGAGCAGCAACAACGCACGAGACCGCAACATCCCAGTTCCCCTGCTCGGGGAATTCTGGCTCTTCCCATTAAAAAGAGATTTTTGGCACAAGCGGTTGAAAGTGGGACCGGTGGCGATGGGCGTACTCCCTACCAGCAAGCAGAGCAGCAGGATGTGTTTCTAGATGATCGCGTTGGAACTCCCTTTGGTTTTGTTCCACCGGGGGCCGTTCCAAGGCCGGGACAGCTTCACCTGCAGCAATTACCATTTGGCACTCCACAGCCATCGGGTGAAGAGCGCACGCCAGCAGAGCTTGACGCAGCCTCAGGAATCCTGAATCTACAATCTACACACTACACACCAGCGTCCGAAGATGCTGCTGATCCGAAGGCAGAAGAGAAGAAGTCCTTCGATTCGCAGGTGCGGCAGCTGCAGCGACAGATTGAACAAATGCAAAGGAGGCTGAATCAGCTGCAGCAGAAGTTGCATAAGAGGCGGCATTCCCGGCGACACCAAAGGGCCCATTTACATCAGCAGCACCAGTTAGGATTGTACCAACAGGGACGACCCATGCTTTCGCAGGTTCCCCTTAGGGAGGACGAAGGGGATCATCAGCCTTTACTTCAAGCAAATGCACTGCACCGGGGGCAGCAGCAGCAGCAGCAGCACCAGAAGCAGCAAGTGATGCAACGGCAGGGAACGCAAAAGGCGAAACAACAGGAACAGAAGGTGGTACAAGATATTGGGCGAACACGAATTCGTAAGCGGAAACAGCAGGACAGCCAGCAGGCGAGGCAACAGGAGCAGCAGGTGCTAGCGGAGAAGAAGCGGAAACAGGAGCACGAGCAAACGCAACAAGTGCAGAAGAAGGGGGAGCTAGAGAAGCAGAAATTACTGGAGGACCAGCAGCGGTTGGAGCCTGCTGAACTGGTGTCGGAGGAAGATGTATGGATTTCCCACGGCTCTCAAACGACTGAAAAGCCTCTGCCGAGCACCTCTCAACAAGTGTTGCAGCTGTATGCTTCTGCAACGTCCTCAGGTCCATCGACATTCGAGGCCTTTAGAGGGCAGGTGACTCCGGAAATTCATCATGCTTCACCTTCTATTGCTGGTGCAGATGAATCACGTTATGGATCTGCTCAAGCTTCCGCTGATGCGGCCTCAGCAGCAAGCGGTGTGTCTGTGCGTGACATGCCTATTCCGGGACCGTCTTCTGCAGCACTGACGACAAGTAAAGGAGGCACGAGCTTGCAGGTTCCGACACTCTCTAGTTTATTGACTCGTGATGAAGCCGCAGATGCAGAATCCGCAGCAGCAGCAGGTGCCTCCATGCTTGCATCTGTATCGACACCGGCAGGCGGGGGGCAGCTTGTGGCGCCGAATTCTTACCTTGATCCTATGAGAGAGCACCCGTTTGTTTACCTGCCGAGTCCAATATTGGAGCGGACTCCTGGCCCGTTTGTTCTTAACATCAAGGCCGCCATATCCAGACCGCCGGGCAGGCGGAATCCTGTGCCGTTGCTGGAGCAGGTTCGTCGCCTCTTCGCCAACCGCGTTTTAGATCTTCAACAGATGAAGGAACTGCGGGACATAGGGCAATTACTTGTAGGGCACGCATATTACCATCAGCAAGATGACCTGTCAAACCACCAGACGTACCGCATGGTTCACCGTCTGGGAATCCGCTTTCTAGTGCTGGATGCTGTGGTTTCCATTTGCATAGTCCTCAGGCAGACACCAGCTGCCGATGATTGGAAAGCCTTCGTAGGTGCGATTAGCCACTCTCCGCCCCCCCCGACCCCACGGGGGATGGCCCTTTGCCGGTCGAGTTTCTTCACATGTCTGGTTAACGAACTCAGCATGGCAATACAAACTCTCAAGACAGGAAGGCGACCTTCACCCTCAGATCTGGTGAGGATTAAGCGGATGCTCTTCTGCTCTGAATACTCTCCGCCGCGCCTCAAAGAGGAAGATTTTGATGGTTGGCGGAAGGATGACGGTTGTAAAATCCGTTGGCATTAGTTTATCCACGAGAAAAAGCAGATTTCACGTACATCTTTTACTTTTGGCAAACACCCCCGTTGTGGAGTGCCGGCATATCTTATTCATCGGATAGTGGTACTGCCTTGACTACGTCCAAGCAACCCTCCCGAAGAGCTGAGGGATATAACTGTATGACTAATTAATAATTTTTGGCACAACAGGCTACAGGTGGTTCTAAACTCCGCCGGGCGTCCTCTTCCCGAAGCGCATCGTTTCGATTGTGAAGGGAGCGACAAGCGTGCCGGCCACTAAAATGTAGTAAATGAAAAGCGCTGTAAATAGAGGTAACAACCCTCAGGTTACATTTGCCCCCTGCTCTAATCTACGTAGGTATTTGATGAGTTTGCCGGCTCTTCCTTTGGCGCCCGTCGGAATATGAGTGAAACGATTAGGGGCCTTAGCGCAGGAGCAGCAGCACCGCTCCCAGGAGTTTTGGGTTTTCGCAAACAGCTTGGCGTTCCCAGGGATCGTTGTGTGCGTGGTGGCCTGCATAGGACTTTTCAGCTGTGCCTCTTACTCACGCCCCAGCGACAAATGCTTCCCAATACAGCAACAGCAAAACGGACATATGCAGTGAAGTAGTGCCTCCATGTTGTGGCCTGTCTCAATCGTTGTCTGCCTAACAACACTACACTTGAGTGCGTTGGGGACGTCGTAGGCCAAGAAGGTGTTTACTAAGTTTCCTCACTGATATTCGAAGCTGCAAAAGTTGGGCATGGGTGGTTGTCTTGCAGCACTAGTTGCAGCGGGGTGCGTTGATACTCACCACAGGCTGCTCTTCGCACCATCCCCAGGCATTCCGGGGCCGTCCGTGCCAAAAGCGCTTGAAAACTGTAACGGGGCCAGCTCCTTTTCAAAATCTCTTTTCATAGCCAGTCGACGCTCCTGCACCTCAAATTTGTCCTCGGCTACCATCGAGGGCTCTCGCTACTCTAAAAAAAACCGCATGGTTGCGAGCATGCTTGATTAGTCAATATATGCTTCGCATTTGCCTGATATGTTCGCCAAAAATATCATTTTCTGGTATCGTACCTTGGATATTGATTAAAATCTTCATTCCCTTGTGCCGGGAAACAATAGTGGAGCTGCTGGTCGGGTTGGTATAACCATAGCGTTTACTGTTTATCCGGCACAAACTACCGTAACAGCGAAAACAATCCACGACGACTCCCTCCAACTTTGCCCGCCATCAGGCATGCCTGGGTAGTAGAGGTGTTCCTTACTTCGCTGTACTTGCCAGAATGCCGGTGAAAACTTGCGGTTGCTGGTGTCTTTTTTTAAGAAGAGAGGGTAGGAAAATGATGGTTATATCTATGCCAAGCGAACAGACCTACGGAGGTATTCGGGGTCGTCTGGAATAATATGTCCGTTCGTTCTTCGTGTATGTGTGTGCGTTCTGTGAATTACAGCAACTGGCAACTGTCATAGGGAATTCATGAAGTGGCTTTTGGTCGTGGCTGCACTCCAGTCGGCCTTGTAGCATTATATGCCGCATCTCCACACGCGTCCTTGTCCAGAACACCGGAACTCATGCCGCTGTCCCCAGTTTATTTGAGGACGGCAAGAGAGGCCGCACACCTATTTAAAGAGACCACATCAAGCATTTTGGCTCTATTGCAGGGAGGCTGCGTTGCACGTTGGTAGAGATGAGATGCAAGAGATGCACGTGCCAATACCTAACAAACTAAGATACCCAAGCCACACTTTGGAGAGTGAAATAGAAATCTTGACATTTGTTCAACAAGTTCCAGTCCATCAATAGGCAGCATGCGAGGAAGTTCGAGTATACCACGCCGTTGGGGCAAGGCACGCTGTAGTGGTTACGCACAGCACGGCTCCCGCAAAAGGATCGCCCCATTTATGTTAAGTCAACCAGCCAGATTTGTGCAGTTTGGTTTCTCAAATTCGTTTTCGTGAGATATGTGAGCTAGCAGATGCAGCCAAGTAGGCACTGTGTTCGTGCGTGCAGAAGCGTAGCGCTCGGTACTTCCACCACCGGGGTTGGCGCAGGATAGCGCTGTTTCGAATAGGCATAAAGCAACAAAGGGGAGTCTGACAAGGAAAGCTTCTATTCTGTATACATTTACTTTGTATTTCTCCCCCATTTGCAGCGATTTTCGTGGCCATGCCCCACGTCATATCCTCCGTTCGCCTAGCATCGAGACACCTTGTAAAGTCTTGTAGTTCTCTTTTCCCCATTGATTTGTATTGAAATCAGCATTAAAAATTGAATGTACCAGCAATAAAGGTGTCTGCCGCCTTTTCAATCTCTAGAGCACGGTATTTGATCGTCCTCCTTGCCCCGCTGTAGGGAACAGCTGGACTTGGCTGTTATTACTTATGTCACCTAGGTGTGCCAAACTAGATGCACATGCCACATACGCCATCTTTTTTCCACACATAATCCCCAAACGTTCCATTTAATCAATTATTAATTCCACTAAACTTATTCGAGCCGATATTCTTGGGGGGAAAACCCAGAATAATAGAACTCACTAACCCCCTCCAGGAGAGGGTCTGAGCCACAGCAACTGCGTCAGACTCACGGTCAGCCCTAGTGTAGGCGGTCAAGCAATCTTAGCTCATTTGACCTCTTTTTTATTTAAAGAGTTCCAATATAAGTGTGTTTATATTTCTGATTGCTTTATTTCGTGAAACTAGACCTCTAAGGTTACCACATGCGCTCTATTGTATTGCGCGTGCACTACACCCGCCGTCCGTGCTAAATGGGGTATTCTGCAACGGAAGTAAGTGGAAATGACCAGGCTACAGCTCGGCCCCATTGGGGTTCTTTTTCAGATGCTTCCTCTTTCGTTTCTGATGATCCGAAAGGTGGTTTGTTCGGATTAACAACAGGACAGGAGCTCGATCTTTTCAGGTCTAGGGTGGCCTCCGGCAAGAATGGGCAGTATGCTCCCCAAAGGGGGGGGCAAGGAGGCTCGCATTCATCTTCCTTTTTAAGGATAGTTGCTCTTGCCTCCGTCTTAGCATTTGTGTTCCTAGTCTCCCTCTGCATAGAAGTGCAGAAGAGAATTCCTGGCCGTCGGCTGTCCGCTCAAGATGAAGGGACCCCCCAGCACGCTGCACTCCAGTCCTGTGGTCAGGACACGCAGGGGTCCCCTGAAGCGACCGCTGACGGTCATTCCGAAGGCCTTGTCGGGGCACCACATGAAATTTCCCCTGAGAGGCCTCCTGGCGGGCATCCTGAGCAGCAGCTTGAAGAGACGTTGGAACGGCTCGATCACAGCTCATTACATACAAGAACTTCTGCAGAGGGCCCTAACGAGACCACTTTGACAGAGCCTCAAGGCACTGGAGACCGAAATGTATGGAGTAAAGACGGGTTCGTTGGTATTGATGCCCCTCACCAGAGCCTTCAGAGTCCAGCGGAGGCGGGCAGCAGGCAAGGACGTAAACGCAGCAGAAGCACAAGCAGAGGAGGAAGCGTTAGTAGCGACACAGAGGTAAAGAGAGCGAAACAGACTCTTCGGCCCTCGGAAGAAGGAGACACAGCATCGCAGCAAGCCCAGCTGCAGGGCGAGCAGGAGCAGGAGCAACAGAAACAGCAGAAGCAGAAGCAGGAGCACGATGCGCATTTACAGATCACTGGTGAAGGTGTGAAGCAACAAGATTTGCTATTCGAAGGGCGAGTTTCTCCGGACCGTAGCTCATCTTCTCCAAAGGCATTTGACTCTAAGACTTCTGGTGCATCCGCTTCTACCCCAGGTGATGAATCCCAAAAATTGCTGGTGGAGCGGGATATAGATGTTATCAACGCGGCGAGAACGCTACTGCAGATGACGAAGCATCGGGAAGAGGCAAAGACATGTCAGCACAAGCAGCACATCACCGAAGCCTTCCCAGTTGATGCTGCTACCCCAGAACAGCGGCAGCATTGCCAACACCAGCACCAAGATGAAGAGCAACGCAATAATCAGAAGCAGCGCCAGCAGGATAATATTGGAGAACAGGCACTGCTACCGCATCCACAGCCCCTACTTGAGAGCCTGAAGCCGGAGGACATGCCGCAGGATCACTGGGATCTACTGCAGTTGTTGTTGCAGCAGCAAAAACAAATACAGCAGCAGTTGCAGTGCCAACTGCGCCGACAAAGGCGCCAAGTCCGAAACTTACAAAAGCTATTAGAGGGGCCAAAGCTGGAGCAGCCGCAGCAGCCGACAGAGCCGCAGCAACAGCAACAAGAAGACCTGCAGCAGGTGCAGCGCGAGCTGCAGGTGGTACAGCAGCAGCTACAGCTCCACCAGTCGCAACTGGAGCTGCAGGAGCTGCTTCAGCAGCAGGCATACGAACAGCTTCAACAGCAGCAGCAGAAGGTGCAGCAGCAACAGCAACAGCTACAAGAGCAGCAGCAACAGCTGCAACTGCAACAGCAACAATTACAACGGCAGCAACAGCAGTTGCAAGAGCTGAAACAAGGAGACAAGCAGCAGCAGCCACAGCAGACTGAGCTGCAAACTCAGCAGCAGATACAGCAGCAGCAAACTCAGCAGCAGCTAAGGAGATCGCCACAGCTGCAGCAGCCACACCCGCACGCGGATACGGGGAAGGAGGAATCTCCCCAAGTGCAGGCCGGGAAACGAGCAATTTGGAGCCAGGAAAGGCAACAAGGAAAGGAACAAGAGGAGCGGAAGAAGCAAGAACAAAAGGGTGGCAATCTTCACGGAGGGGATTCACATGCTGTTGCGAATTCCTCGGGAGAATCACTGTCAGCTGCTGGAAGATCATCTCCACAACGAGCACAGGGGGCAACCACTGGAGCAGCAGTAGCTGGAACGCTATCGTCGACACGCATTAGTGGAGAAGCATCGACCACGGAAGACCTGCGGAGGCATCCATTTGCGCGCTTGCCTGCTCCATTGCCTGGGCCTATGCGGCCTCTTCACGTTGTTGACGGGGACCCAAATATTATTTACGGAACTCGTTGGGCTGCGCCTCTGCTGCAGCGGGCGCAGAACGTCTTATGGGCGGAAAGGATTAGTGCTGAGGGGCTGCACCAGCTCAAGCTCGTTGCTCAGAAACTGGCAATGCACTTGTTGTATTTTCAGAAGGAACGGCTGGTAGGTCTCAACCCCTCTGCGGTGCTGCCGCGTCTGGGCGTCCGCTTCCTCGCCTTTGATGTTATTGTCTGTACATTGCAACTGCTGGGGCAGTCCGCCACTGTCCCCTGGTTCAGGCGGCTCGCAAATGCTGTACCAAATGATTGGGGTGTAATCAGAGATGCTAAGGTGAATTCCCCTCAGGCAAACTTCAACATGGTGCTCGTCGAGGACCTCGTCAGAGCCGTTGAGCTGCTCAAGCAGGGCACTCGGCCTTCTCCAGAACAACTAGTTGAAATTAAACGCAGACTATTCTGTTCCGAATACTCGCCCAAGTCTTTCCTCTCAAGCACCTACACACAGTGGAGAGTACAGTACGCCCTTTTCACAACGAAACACCAACATCGCCGCATTCCACAAGGACACACAAAATTTCCAACATACAGACTGGGAAGCGGGCAACAGGAAGACGATTGGATAATTGCCGACGGGGAGCCGAGCCTACAACAACAGGCGGAGCCACAGCAGCATCGGCAGCAGCACCGACCGGACCATTCCTCTCTTGAGCAACAAAGGAGGGACGAAATCCACGAATCCACACTGGACGAACATACAGAAGGCGACTATGATGAAGATGAGGAAGAGGAGGACCGAGGCAACATGATCAAGAGGAGAGAGAGTCGCTAGGTTAACCGGATGATCAAGAGGAGAGAGAGTCGGTAGGCTTACTGGAAGAGTTCCTGCAACGTAAGGTGGCTAGCAGTAGCACTACCTATGAGCGCCGCTGCAGCACCAGTAGCAGCAGCAACAACAATACTTGAAAATGAGGAAAAAGGAGGATAGAGGGGGTCTGAGGGGCGGAAGGGGTCTCTGCAGTTTATACTACAACAGACACAGCAGTAATACGCACACCTGCAGTACGACTGGAGGTGAGAGGTGGCGGGAAAACCGTCTCTGCAGCGCACGCATGCAGCAAAAGCTGGTGCAGGAGACAGCTAATAATGTGGTGTGCAGTATTGTCTTGAATATTCCCTAACCGTTTAGGGTACCTCCACACATATGCCACTCCCTTTTCTATTGCAAATTACAATTAATGGATTTGCTGCAGTTTTTCGGTTCAGCAAATGCCTCCATTTTCTTAGTAGCAGACTTGGGCACATTTTGTGTACATCCATGCTTGTATGCTAGTAATATATTGCATGACCAGAGCATGGAGTACTTCCCCCTTAACGGTGCAGCTATGTACGTGCTTCATCTGGGGACTGATGCATGTTTTTATGGCATTTCATTGGTGCAATGGCCTCCCATCTACTGATGGAAGTCACAGCATAGTAATGCGCATATGCCTCAGGCTAAATGATATTGAACAGAATGAATTGCGGTGCGAAATGTAGTGTAGTTTCACATTGGAATGCCCCAACACGATTTTTGCTTCTGCAACGGTACTACGCTGGAAACGAATTGATGCTTCTGCAACGGTTTTGTCCTCGTCGTCCCTGAGCTGTGCACTTTGGAAGTGCAACGATTTTCCCCTTAACAGTGGAACTACCCGTCGGGTGAATTTCGACTTGTAGTGTCCGCTTTGAACTCTGATGGTTTTTCCCCTCTGCTCTGCTGTAGATGAGCGCACGATGTGTGGAGGGGCATCACGGACGGGAGGAGGAGGCACTGGGTGGAGGGTTCAGGGCAAGGATATGCACGTCAGCATCTCATTTGAAACCTTGTTTATAGTGATACAAAACAGCAATGTAAGTGATTAATTATATATATAAAATGCATATTCTCACGAGAAAGCTAAGGGGTCACGGGGCCACTGCTCAGCCTCGTAGCCCGCTGGGAAACGCATTTCTTCGTGGTTGCTCGAAAGTTGCAAGCTGTGGCTGTAGAACAGAAGCCCTGAAGGAATATATTCAGATGGAAGTTACTGAGTTGTATAAGGTTAAATTGCTCCTGATTGTTCCTTTAGGCGGGATACACCCTGCTTCGCTCCTCAACAAGCTGGCTGTTCGGCAGCGGGTCTCTCCCAGCTGGTCACCGCTCACTGGCGTGTAAGGTTGTGCTGTGCTTCTCTTCTTGTGAAGATTCCTGTTGCCATTTTTCCATGTTATAAAGTGACATAAGCACTTGAATTCTTATTTCCTGGAAGAAATTTCAAGACTCGACCTGCTGCACCCGAGAACTCGTCTCTTTCCTCTTTGGTCCGTCTCTCCACACGTCAGGTCCGGTTTACTACATCCATTTCTCCTCAAATCCACATTGACTGTCATGGACCTCAAAAAAACCCAGGGAATCATTATCAGTGGCAGTTGCCTACTGGGCAAGGTGGCAGATATTTTTCGCCGGCAGGAAGGCGACCTCGAGCGAGCGTTGCAGTCCATAAAGCTCGAAAATCAAGACGTACTCATTCCTAGCTATGACACCTTCCAAAACCAAGGGTGGGATGCCTTTTTCTCTCTCCCACAAGACAGAAATGGGGACTTTCGCGGCTCCCACAGGTGTAAAAACGGTAACGGAAACGCCTGCCGCAGCACAGAAGGAACTGCTGCTACAGGATCAAATGACTCGCAACCCTCTTTGGAATATATGGAGAAGTTGTTTTCCCCTCCTCCTGCGTTCTTCCGGAGTCATCTGTCGTGCGAGCTCCCTTCCATCTTGGAAGCTGTAGGCTGCACGCCCCTTGTTCGGCTTTCGCGTGTGGCTGCCGCACTGGGCATCTCGTGCCAGTTGCTTGGTAAGTGTGAGTTTTTGAGCCCTGGGGGCAGCACGAAGGACAGGATCGCGCGAGGCATGATCAGAGCAGCTGAAGCTTCTGGACACCTAGCGCCGGGATGCGCTCTCATAGAACCGACAAGCGGCAACACCGGCATCGGCTTGGCGATGGCCTCTGCAGTCAAAGGATATCGATCAGTGGCTGTGATGCCCATGAAGATGTCCACAGAGAAACACCGGATCATGAAGGCCTTGGGTTCTACCATTCTGCGCACGCCAACTGCGGCAGCTTGGGATGAACAGACCTCTCATATCGCGCTTTCCCTTCGTTTGCAAGCGGCGATGGAGGCACAGCAGCGGCAAGCGAGAGATGTGTGTGCCAGTAATGCAAAATCTGGGGAGACGCCCTGGGTGAACGGCTGCGCGGCACAGGCAGAAGCTTGCGGTAACCAGTCGCAAGTTGCCTGCATCCTTGACCAGTACAGGAACCCGGCAAACCCATTATCGCACTTTTTTGGAACGGGCGCGGAGCTGCTGGCGCAGAGTGGCGGCAAGTTGGACATGGTGGTGGTTTGCACAGGAACTGGGGGCAGCTTAACAGGAATCGGACGCCGGATTAAAGCAACTGCGCCCCACTGCCTCGTCGTAGCCGTTGACCCCGAAGGTTCTGTGCTCGCGAACCCGAACGAGGCTTGCGTCAAGCCATATGTGGTGGAAGGCATCGGATACGACTTCGTGCCGACTGTGTTGGATCGCCAGGCAACCGACTGTTGGGTGAAGACCACAGATGAAGAAAGTTTCCTTTGCTCCCGCCTGCTCCTGAAGACTGAAGGACTACTAGTGGGGGGCTCAGCCGGCGCAGCCCTTGCAGGGGCAATCAAAGCCATCGAACACTTCGGCTGGACAAACGATGCAAGCAAACGCGTAGCCTTCATCCTTCCGGACAGCAGTCGCAACTATACCTCCAAATTTGTTTCCGACGAATGGATGGTTGCCAAAGGTAATGCATCCACTTTGGCTCTGCAGCTTCGGTCCACTCGTGTTCCCTGTCGTGAACCTTTGATTCGATGCAAACAGGCCCACCATTTTATATTGCTGTTTTGGTGTTGGTGCCACACAAACAACAAGCAGCAACAACCTGTGCGCCTTCAGCTCCGGAAGGACTATTCAGGTGTTGACACGAAACACCAAGACAGGAGTGCATTTTACTGAACGGCATGCACGCATTGCATAGTTTTATGCATAGCAAACGTGGCACCCCATACGCTTCCAGTGTCTTTCAATGTTGCACGGAATAATGGCTATGCGTCCACTTCCATATAGTGTATGCGATTACCTACATATATTGCATGGAGGCATGCATGCATGCATGTATTTTACACAAAAGCATGCATATATACACAAGTACATATGAAACTCCCCTGTATTTCGTTTGGCCATTTTCCTGCAGGTTACCTGGACTCCAGTGTTCTGGAGAGGCAGTACAGCGAATACGCTCGTCAGAGCATTCAGTCTCTGCATTTGCCTCCCCTGAGCTTCGTACCTTCGACGGCGTCTTTGAAAGAGGCGGCAACAGTTCTACTGCAGTCCGCTCAGCCCCTGGTGGCTGTCGTGAAGCCCGAGGTTGAACCAGAAGTGAGGAGCAAGGGAGGAGTTGCTGCAGATGCTTTAATGGGCATTGTGACTGAACAAACTCTCCTGAAGGCCTTGGGAGATTTCCCCGGCAGCGCAGAAGTTGGCGAAGTTGTCGACAATGATGCCCCTGTTTTCCGCTGTACGGACATCTCACTCGCGCGCATTGCACAGACTCTGGAAATACATCCTTTTGTCCTTGTTCAGTCTGAAACAGGGCTTATCAATGCAGCCGTAGAGGCAAAAGGGCTGCTCCAGGCTTTCCTTGAAATGCAGCAAAGCGGATGATGCTCAGTGTGATGGGCGGCTTCTCCAGGAATAAAACTTTGAGCAGCAACGACAGAGGAAGGATTCCTCTTGCCTATCCTCCGCACTGTGGATTTCTTCCGCATCATCGGCACTCTGGACTTCCCAGCGGTGCAGATATCCCTCCGAATGTCTCCACAATAACAGTTGTTTGCACTTCCTCCTATTGTCTGCATACAAAGTCGATGCGTCTGCATACAAAGATGTGCAAATGCATTACTGTATGTCTATTTTCATGCATTTAGATACACCTAGATTAATCCATGTGCCTATATATTTTGCATTAGTGTGTTTCAATGTACCTGAGTGTCATCATAGCATGCAAATTATATCTTCCCATATTTTACACCTAAACACGCCCATACACAAATGTGCTTGCCTGTACTTGGCCTTGGGTCTGTTCGGAATTTTCCCTTTAGCTTCAAGTCGTCCGAATGGCTTGGTGATTATGCTTCCGTTTGTGTTCACCCTGCCTACTTCTGACTCCCACTCCCCTGATGATTTTATTGCACTACTTGATGTGCGCTACTACGTGCAGCTACCTGCTGCAGTGCCAATGGCTGTGCTTTCGGGGTACTGGATCCCATACTGTAAATTCTACAGAATACGTAGTAACATGCTTTGGCCATTTTAAAGGAACTGCAGTCGTGCAGCCATTTGCTGTTAAAATTCAACTTTAGGGTAGAAAACTTGGCAGGACCCGAGGCCACCAGCAGGGAATGCGGCAAGTAGTACATATGTAACAGCAGCTGCTCAGCTGCTGCAGCAGAAACAACAGCATCATCGGGTGTTGTTCCTTGCAGTATGAATGTAACAAGCACCCTCGTCGCTTTGGAAGGAGGACATCCCACTTTGGCGCAGTATACATTGGTGCCTCATACACTAAGGGGTCGTCCCTGTATTGCAGGTATATAGTGAAAAAATAAGTAAATAAATTGACCTTTCGATCAGTTTCTATTTATCTGTTTTGGAACAAAAGCAATATATACTTGGTTTTAGTTGGAGTTTACGTCCACTTGGTAGCTGCTCTGAGGGTAACAACGGACGCTTCATGCCCATCGTGTTGTTTCACCCCTACCTTTTTCACCCCTACGTTCAACCATATTTAAGAAGGTACACTAAAGTTGAACTGTACTTGTGCATTCATGTGAGAGTTTGGGGTGACGATTGTTAATCCACTAATTGATGCATACCGCTGCCTGCTGGCAAAAATCAGCCAGCCTGGCATTTACACAGTGCTTCGGCAAACGCAAGCACTTTGCCCTTAGATTCCCTGCAGTGGGCATCAGAGTTAAGGGAATATATGTATAGTATTAATTCTCGATCGGGTGAAACAAAGCAATAATTATTACCAGGTGCTGGGCGGTGGGTACATCGAACTTCCCCACGAACTAAGTTGTGGAAATGCTCTTCTGGAACCATTTTGAATCAAATTAGATTCGCTGATTATTCTTTTCTAAAATTGTAGATCAAACAACCAGTGGTAGAGTATTCGTTTGCTTGCCAACATTCCTACCGCAACGACTGCTGGTGCCTTGAGTTTGGGACAAACGGTGGAAACACACTTTGAATAGGACATATATATTTGGGCTTTTTAAGGAAATAAAAAACAAACATCTCCCACGGTCTTCGGAATTCCAACTGTCTCGTCGATTTCCTGCAGAGAATGCCACAACCGACGCCCAAAAGCTGCTCAAGAACTTGCAAGGCAATCCTGTTTGAGTAGGAGCAGTGCTTCCCACTGCAGAAGCTTCAACACAACTTGCAACATGCATCTAATGAGGCAAAGTCCTATTTCGCAGAAACTGAATTGCGAAAACAGTGAAATAATGACCAGACAGCTGACAAGCGTAACATCGATCTGCCTATCAGACCGGTCTGCGGATACCGGGGGTTCTGCTGGGTACACGGATGGTTTGGGCACATTTTGACGCCATAGCAAGTAGTTATAGGCATTATTAAATGTGCTCATAATGCTGCTTCTTTAGTTAAAGCTGGGGCAGAAACAGGGTATCCCCAGCTCCTAAGAAGCGGCCACTGGTTAACCAGTGCGGCAGTAGCACCACAAGCAAACACCCACAACAGGAGCTATTCCCTCAGATATTCCTCAAGCTTTATCTTCTAGGAATTTGTCTGATTCTCCTTAAAGTGGTCAAACCACATTCAAGTCTGCCGCTGTGTTGCGTGCGCAAGGAGCTCATTGGGGGAAGACTTGTTGGGCTGCTGCTACTCCTGCAGTTGGACGGCTTCTGTATGCCCCATGGGACTGCAGGAGAACAGTGGCAACGCCAGAAAAAACACACAGGCACACAGCAGCACGAGCCGCACCAACCATTCGGACTAGCAGCAACACTCGCAGCACCAACCAAAAGCAGACGCAGCAGCCACTCGGCACATTAGAGGGTAGCCTCATGGGTTTAGTCGCCTCTGATCAGCGCATAAGGACCAGCAAAGGGGGTGCAAATAACCAGAAGCAGAGAGCGACAAACAGCAAACGGGAACGTCAATGTCAGAAACAACAGCAGCAACAACAGCAACCGCATCAGGAGCTCATAGCGTCCCCTTCTGCTCTAGAGGGTCTTGTAGCCAGAACAAGACAAGACTTCACCTAGCCGTTGACTGCAGCTGGAATGGCTGCTACACGTCCCGATCTGCCCCCTTCATCAGGCACCGCAGCAGGAGCAACAGCATCATCGGACACTACAATGCCCTCCGCTGTGGTGGCTGCACTGATAGCTGATGGACTGTTATGCCCTCAAGAACCTCTTGAAGAGCTTAAGGAGCACTTTTTGCTGCTGGACTTTGATCCGGAGAAATGTAAGTAGCTGCTCCTTCTTGTTTGTTGCTGTTATTTGTGTCGCTGCTTCTTGCGCTGCTTCTTCTGCGTCTTTTGCCGCTGTCTTCGACATTACTGCTTCCAGCATTGCTGTTTTTGCTGCTCTGGGTTTTTGCTGCTGCTGTTACTACCGGTCGCATTGTGATTGTTTTGGCTGCAAATTTATCGCCCAGGGGATTTTGTCTAGAGTTGTTTCATGTGTGGTTCTGCTGCTTGGGGTTCCAGCAATAGCTTCGGCCCTAGCGGCTCATCGGCTCCTCAGAGAGTTTGCGAGAAGGGGCAGGAGCAGCAGTAGTAACAGCAGCAGTAATAGTAACAGCAGCAGAAGAGGCAACAGCAACAGCAGCAGTAGCAGCCTTAGGCTTTCCGTAGGGGTAGGGGAGGAATTCACTGTTGCTGGGGAGGTGGCTTGCTCTCGCTTGGGAACTGCGCGGCGACAGCAACAACGGCTGCAGCAGCTGCTGCAGGCAGATGCAGAAACACTGCAACAAACGCTGCAAACAAAGAGAGACTGGGAGGCGCTAGCTGGTGAGTTTCAGTCCCTTGTTGCTCCCCAACCCATATAGGATTTACGGTTTAGGCCTCAGAGTGTAGGCTAAGGGTTTGCGTTGACGAGCTTCTGGAAGAACCCTAAAGCCTCTCTGAGGATGATATATTGTTGCTCCTTCCTTTTGCTGTTGCTGGGGTGTTTGAAGGAAGCTTCCCGTACAACTTCTTTGCCTTGTGTCGGGCCTTCCTCTTGGCTGAAGGGGGCACCTCAGTTCGTCGTCCTTCTGCAACACACTCCAACATAGAAGGAACCAGCGACCGCAGCAGCGCAAGCATGTGGGGCGATATTTGGAAGCCAGGGGATGGCTGTTGCTTACCAGTTAATTTGACGGCAGTGCAAAAGCTACACAGCGCCATCGTTGCTGCTGCAAGGGCTGTACGGAGTGATTCATCCAACAGTGCGGGCAGGTGTTTGCTGCTGCTGCCTGTTGCTGTTGCTTGCTGCTGTTGTTTGTGGCTCTGCTATTGCCGTTGTTACTGCTGTGCTGCCTCGAGGTGCCTGTTGCACCGCACGTCGGCAGGGTTCCGTGCTGCATCTGTTCCTTTTCACGTGAACTCTGTTGCTGCTGCTTTTGCAGGTGATTGGGATCCTGTAGAACTCTTGCTGCAGATGATCTATGGGCTTTGCTGCCGTCTGCTGCAACGAGCTGCGGCGCTGCACCAACCGCAACAGCTAGCATTCATTCCAGTACTGCTGGGTAAACAACTTGTCAGGTAGTTGGGAGGCTTCGTTGTACTGCTGCTTATGCACCTGCCGCTGCTTCTGCAGCTTGGGGATGTTGGCGCTACCTCTGCTCTTGCTACCGCATCCATGGCCGACAAGCGCTTGTTTTACTGCCAGCAGCAGACACTCCGTCTGCAGAGATTTCGCAGTTTAGTTAGACGTGTATCTGCTGAGTTGCTGCTTCTGCCGCTACATCTGCTTTAGCGACTGCTGGTCCTGCTGCTGCAGAAGGTCGTCTGTTGGAGGAGTCGGCCGACTTTTCGGAGTTGGCGAAAATATGTGAAGTCGTCGCGGAACTGCCCTACACTGCCAGACGCACCATCGCCAGATGGTCTGTTTCTACTGCTACTACTGTTGCTGTTGTTGCTGCTGCAGATGGTTTAAGTGCTGAGACGGCTGGTGGGGTGATTGCTGCTGCTTTTCCTTTATCGGTTGTTTCTGGCCCTGTGCTTGCCCCCGTGGATGCGGAGGCTCCATATGGTACTGGTTCTGCTGCTGTTGACGCTGTTGTTGTAGCTCTTGTTGCTTCTGTTTTTGCTGCTGTTGCTGCTGGCGTTTCGGCCTCTGCTGCTGCTCCTTTTGCGTTGGCTTGATGACCGTCTGTGCTGTTGCTGTGCTGGAGGTGGTTGGGGCGTTTTTGAAGGCACCGAGCTGTCGTTGCTTTATCTCCCATGCGTATCGACATTCGGTTCTTTCAAGTGAAATCTTTAGTTGTTGAATGCATGAAATTCCCATTGGTTTTATTTGTTTGCTTCGGCAGGTACCTCGACGTCCCAGTGCGACACTTGGAGCAGCACATCACTGTTGTGCAGCAATTAATCACAGGCATGAGCCTTGCTGTTGCTGCTGCTGCTGGTGTTGTTACCAGTGCTGCTTCTTCCGTCGTTAGTGACGGTGCTGTTCTTGATGTTGCTAGTGTACATGTTGTGGTTGTTGCTGCAGCAGCAATTGTAGTTTCATTATTCAGTGGCTTTTGCTGCTTTGAAGCGTTCTGGTGCTGCTGACAGCTGCTGCGTGTGCTGCAGATGTTGATGCTGCTGCTGCCTCTCCCATGTTCCCGTGTTTCTGCTTGTGCTGCAGTTCGCGTGCTGTCTGCTGGGCCTTTGGAGAACTGGCATTACCTTCAGGCTCCGCAGCACCCAGCAGAAACGGCCTTAAGGGCAGCTCTACTCCTGCTTCACATTCTTTATGTTGCCAATGTGCATCGGCAGCAGCGGCGCTTGCAGACGTGCGATGGAGACCCTCATCTAGATGCCCCCACCCTCCTTCGAAGCGCTATTCACTCCCCAGCTGCACCTGAAGAAGCAGTAGTTGCAGGAGGAGCAGCAGGAGCATTGGCAGAAGCAGCACCAGAAGTGAATGCAAGATCCGGAGAAAGGGTTGCTTCTCAGACTACAGTGGAGTATCAACAGCACCACCAGGGGCAGGAAGACTTAAGTGAAATTGACTTCAATTTTTTTCACAACGATGCCATCAATTCAAGTCACCAGCTGCTGCAGCACGAATTCGCTCTGTGGCTACGCTTGCGGAGAGGCGCAGCAGCACCAGCTGTCAGCAGTCTGCTGTTGCAGCAAGCGCTGCAGCAGCAACAGCAACGAGAGAGACGCGACCGAAGCAGGCAGCATAGCATCCTCACCATAGCGCCACACAGTGCATTCGTTGCACACTCTATGGAGACCTCTGCTGCTACGGCAGCAACCCAAGAAAGAGCAGCAACAGCACCAGGACCAGCGGGGAACGGATGCTCTCAGGTAGCAGCACCAGCGACGAGAAATGGCTCGGAAATACCGTCTACCAATGGTGTGCTTTCCGCAGCACCACTTGCACCACCACAAGAATCAACAGAAGGAGCAGACGAAGGAGGACCAGTGACGGCAGAAGATACAATGGTTTTGCGTTCAGTGTCTGTTCACTCCTTATTCTCGGCGGAGGACGACTCTGGATCAGGTCTACTGTCGCCGGGTCTGCTGACAGCAGATTCAGAGGCCCCAGTAGCAGCAGGAGCAGGACCATCAGCTCCAGCAATAACACAAGCAGTGGCGGAAAGTGGGTTTGCTGCTGAGATTGGCGCGTTTGTATCAGAGGGGATGGCGACAGGTTTTAATACACCAAACGACAGATCAAGCAATCATTTGATGCTTGGACGATCAGTACGAACATCAGCAGAATCAGGAGCAGTAGCATCTAACATGATAGGCTTTTTGCCGCTGCCTTTGGGTGTGTGGAGTTCAGCATCTGCTGCTGCAGCTCTTGCTGCAGGTGCTGCATCTCCTGCTGCAGTGTTGTCGAGTCCAGCAGCAGCAGCAGCAGCAGCCGCTGCAAACCGCCCCTTCAACCACTTCGCAGTGCCGCAAGCCAACTTGCATACGCATGAGTTCTCGCTTCTCGCCCATCCTTTTGTGTTGGATGCATCAGCCAAGGCGGAGATAATTCGGATGCAGGCAACGCTTGAGCAGCAACACCAGGTCCATCCCTCCTCGTCGATGCTGTTGATTCTGCTGCTTCTGGATCTGCTGCTGTTGCTTCTATTGGCACCTCTTTTGTGGATGCTGCTGCTGTTGGTCCCCTATCCCTCGCTGCGTCCGTAGTGTCTGCTGCACCACTTGCTACTGTCCCTGCTTCTGCTGTTTGTGTTCGTGGTCAGGCTAGACAGGCGGAGGTGGAAGCGCTCTTGGCTTTGTGCCGGGGGGGAGTTGGCTCGCCGCTGCCGTTTTTGTACTTGCAGGTGCGGCGCACACATCTGGTGGAAGACACGCTGCAGCAGATTGCCAGCAGCAGCACTAACAGCAGTACAGACTTCCGCAAGGCCCTCAAGGTCCAGTTCGTAGGGGAAGAAGGTGTCGACCAAGGAGGGGTTACCAAAGAATTCTTTCAACTTCTCGTTGATGAGGTTTGCCCGCATTGATGATGAGCATCTGCTGCTTCCATTGTAGTTGGTGCAGCTGCTTATGGTCGTGCTAGTGGTGGTGGCGGTGGTTGTGCAGCTGGGGTTGCTGTTGGTGCTGCTGCTGTTGCTGCTGATTGCCCCCCTGCAGATGCTATCGACTGTTTCGGATGTTACGTGTGGCTGTTAGCTCCCCGTGTTGATGCGCATCTGCCAGAATCTTTATATATATATATATATATATATATATATA